GGGTTATCGTATGTAAATTTACTAAATTTGCTCATTTCCTCCCTGTAAAATTTTCGTATAATGCTTGTAGACTAGCCACTATTTACATCGATAAGATTGCTCGTTTGCATGGGGTCCTAGTATCTATTGTTTTAGACAGGAATCCTAAAATGTGTTTGAATTCTGACAAGTCTTTAAGAGGCAAAGGGAACTGAATTGTGATTAAGCGCTGCTTTCCATCTGCAAACTAATGTATAGTCAGAAGGAACTTTTTAGATTTGGGGAGAAATGCTCCAAATGTATGCTATAGATTTTCGGGGTAGTTGGAAAAATCTATCCATCATTGGCAGACTCCGCCTACAACAATAGCTTACACCCTAGTTTCAGTGTGACGCAGCATAAAGCCTTGTATGGCGGAAAAGGTAAGTCTCTAACTAGTTGAAAACATAGTGTTGCTTTATTTCGAGACTAAACGAATGACTATCGAGAAAAATTGGAACCGTTGAATAAAAAGTATTCCAAATTGTTTCGACTAAAGGTAAAATAAGTTTGGAGGACCAAACTTCTTAAAGGGGGGAAGACTGTAAGACCCCTGTTCTGTATTATGTTAACTGGTCCTTAATATGAGTATGATTATGTGTTTGATATGATTTTGTGTGCCATTATGCGAAAATATGTGGTTTTGAATTTCTATCTGTTCACCGTAGGAATATCTGTTCGATTAGCTGCTTTGGAAATTAAATTGAAGGCCTTATCGGCCACAGAACCCGAAATTGATTACGCCATTGTGATTGGCATAATTTTTAGAGCCTACGGTGAAGTTTAATTTGGAAATTGATTTGGATCAGATTAAATTGGTTTAATTAATCATAAAGTGCTCAATTGTCTATTATTAAATTAATGGGACTTAGTGGGCCACTATATACTCAAATATCCTTTGTGTTATTCTACTTGGCTGATTCTAACTCAAGAAAAAGAGAGGGGGGGTCGGCTAGAGAGAGAGCAAGAAGGGGAGTTGGGTGTTTGACCCAATTTTGTGAAGATTGGAGGATTAAACTCAAGATTTGGCCATTGATTGGAGAAGTTGAGCCTCTAGGTAGGTAATTGATCTTGAATTCAAGTTTGAATATTGGTCAAAAACATGAATTAAATTGTTTGTGAGGAGATTGAGTTGTATATGTTGAATTTTAAGTCAATAGATGCATGCATGTAGGAAATTACTATGAATTTCCATATTTGAGCACAATGTGTATGTAATCCATGTTGAGTTTTGATTATTGACCATGTATTAGATCATCTCTTCACCAATCAAGTTGAGAATATTGTGTATATTTCATATGCAAGTGCAAATCATGGGAGTTTGAGTCTTGCATGTTTGAATCTAGTGTGTTGGTGATGAGTTTGAATTAAATTGAGGCATGCATGTGATTAAATTGTGAAATTGAGCTCCATGATGATGTATTTTGGTGTTGGTATCATGTTAGTATATGTATATGTGAAATTTGGGCTGTGGCATGCAAGAAATGTTGGTAGGAATGTTGGATTTGAGCTTAAGAACATTGCTAGAAAACCCAGAAACTTTGATGTCCACTCGAGCGGGGGAACCGCGGCTCGAGCGGGGAATTTGAGCTCCCAACATTTTCTTGCAGGCTACGTGCCCGCTTGAGCGGGGAAGTTCACGCTCGAGCGGGGAGCTATGTAGGATGAACTTCCGCTCGAGCGTCCGAGTTCACGCTCGAGCGTAAAAATGATACAACCAGCACTTTTACAGACCTATTGGGTCCGCTCGAGTGGGGGAGTCCACGCTCGAGTGGGGACCCTGTTTTCTGAAATTTGGTTTATTCATTCTGTGTTCCGTTTTCCGTTCTTTTTCACTTCTAAGTACTCTTAGGCATGTATTGAGCATTGTAATTGAGTTAAAGAGATAAGAATGAAGCTTAAAGAGGAATATGTGAATTAAGGGACGGATTGAATTGTTTGTGACCCTTTTGTGTTCATGGAATGTGTAGGGTCGAGCTCCAGGGCAAACCAACCAACCGATCACTGTGAGTAATATCTTGACAAAGATATCTGAAATATGTTGTTGTCCAATTGCTTACTTCTATGTAAGTCTTATAAGTCCAACTGCTTACTTCTATGTAAGTTTTATAAGTTTGTTGATTCGATTGGTGGACAATGTTTGCTACGTTGAATGTATGGGCCAAAGGCCGTTTTGATCAGAATGAATGTATGGACCAGAGGCCGTTTTGACATGAATGAATGGGCCAGAGGCCGTTTTGACATGAATGGATGGGCCAGAGGTCGTTTTGACATGAATGAGTGGGCCAGAGGCCGTTTTGACATGGAAAGTATAAATGGGCCGAAGGCCAGTTTGATACGAAAGTATAAATGAGCCAGAGGCCAGTTTGACATGAATGAATGAATGGGCCAAAGGCTAGTCTGACACGAATGAAAGATAAATGGGCCAAAGGCCAATTTGACACGAATGAAAGATAAATGGGCCAAAGGCCAGCTTGACACGAATGGATTGGGCCCGAGGCCATCCGATGTGTTTGGAACCGCAGTTACTTGATCTATATCTATTTATAAACAAGATTAAAATATGAATGGGGCCTAAGGCTGTTTGATGTATATTGATGTATATTGTTCCAAAGTATCTTCTTTATTTGATATTATTCACTGGGCTTTCGCTCACGCTCATTCATGTGTTTGTAGGTGAGCCAAGAGAGGTCCAAACCCACCCTCAGTGAAGTCAGTGGGGAACAACCAAGGTTTTGAAGAGTCAGCCCTTGCGTCTCACGCACGAGACCCGTCTTCGCCCTTTTGTTATGTGTTTATATTCTGTCATGTTGGCGAAGACTTTGGATTACGTTTGTTTATAGTTTTGATTGGCTGACCTAGACTCGAATGATCCTGTCTGTATAGAACTTTATGTTCCTATATTCTCTGATGTGAGTTATTAATATGTATATGTATGGTTTGTTATGATGTGCCATGTAAGCACAGCTCTGTGGACAAAGTTTTAAATTCTGCTTCTGTTTGGCTCCTTTACTCTGATGAGTTATGTCTGATTTGGTTTGAGGCCGTAGGTGATCTCAGGATTACTGGCCGGTTACGGCCTTAACCTATGGGGGCAGGTTTGGGTCGTGACAGGAGGAGTCGCACCAGTTGAGAATCGTTGATTTGAGATTCAAATTGGGGATGACAGTGGAGAAATCGGGGTTAGAGCCATCGGGAAGTAGAGGAGCAAAACCTAGGTATCTGCAGACTTGTACGCACATGATCTCAAAGGTTTGGCCTAAAGAGACGACGATTGGATCGAACATCAAGGAACCAGAAATGGGACAGACGTACTCTGTGGGAGGTTCCTTGGTGATCTCTATATAGAGATTTTCCGCTTGTGAAGCTTGCCATTACCACTCATCTCTCTACATGGTACACAAGCTTTGTGGATCTAGAAGGTAAAATTGGAGGTGAAATTCATGGAGATTGGTGACAAAGCTCCGATTTTCAAGGGAAAATTATAGGAAGATTATCTGAATTTATCGATTGTTATGAAGATAGGAAGTGTAAGCTACCGGGGCTGGTGGTCCAGCAGGTGGTGTTTCCTTATAAACCGCTGTCTCTGGTGGTGGATGATTCATATTTTATGAGGAATTGAAGAAGCAGAGGTAGATGATTGAATTGAAGAAGTAGAGGATGCAATTCGCTAAACATTTGGAGGTTAAGAGGATGCAGCTGTTCAAGGATACTCAGGTTCAACTTGAGAAGATCAAGTAAGCTAAGAGGTCGGATTCGAATGGTGACAGAAAATGGAATTTCTGAGTTGTGAATTTCTTTGGGTTAAGTGATTTGGAGAGGGAGAATTTCTCTGATTTGAGTGAATTTCTCTGGGTTGGTGAGGAAAATTTCTCTGGCTTTGAGAAAAAATTTCTGAGTTGAAGTGAGTCTAAAGAAATTCTTCCCTAGTCTAGAGAAATTCTCAACTCAGAGAAATTTCAAAAGAGTTGAATTTTGCTTCTAGCATGCTGCTCAGGTGTCTGACCATCCTTGGAAATACCGGCTTCAAAACTACCAGTGGTAGAGTTGATGAAATCACGATGGCCATGAGCATCAATGACAATGCAGTAGTATTTGGTGGTCTCAAACTTCCACAAAGCAATATCAATATACACAGAGAAAATTATGAACAAATTATAAAGATATTTGTGAGCAAATTAGAGAAAATTCAACCCCAGAGAAATTTCAAAGCAAAGAAAATAAAAAAAAATTGAACAAACCAGAGAATTGGTTTGAAATTTCTCTAGATGGAAATTTCTCTAGGTCGACTGCAGCGGAGGCGTTGGTGAAGTTGGCATTGATAAAGGGAGATTTGTTGATAGAGTTTAAGGTGTCTTGTTTGAAGACAGTTGATGTTAGAAATTTTGATAAGGTTTGAATTCATTTTGAGTTTTTAGATTATGGATTTGGTTACTTGAAATTGTGGATTGAAATTGAATGTGTGATTTGATCACACTAAAACTCTTTATTAACATAATTCTAAGCCCCTCACCATGTACTAAGCCCCTCACCATTTTATTTTCAAAAATGTCAATAACATAATTCTAAAAATATTTTTGGAAAAACTGTAAATCTGTGGGAGAAATCTCTTTTAATAAAATTTTGATAGATAAAAAGAACTTACATCACATACAAAAAGAAATTTATTCCACCATAAAAATAAAATTATTATTTCGCTCCTCAACTAGAAAACAATTTTGACATTGCAAATAATTTTCCTAAATGGCAATGGCAATGACATACATACATACATCACACACTCACTTCAAAAACAATTTTGACATTGCAAATAATTTTCCTAAATGGCAATGACGTCAATACATATACATCACACCCTCACTTCAAAAACAATTTTGACACTGCAAATAATTTTCCCAAATGGCAATGACATCATTACATACATCACACACTCACTTCAAAACCAATATATATACGCTCTCTTTCTTGTCTCTCACACATCATATTCCTTTAACTACCAAACGAATTACCCAACAAAATACAAGAAGAAACAAAGACGGATACCCACTATCCAACACCTAGAAACAGAGACACACCAAAAGATACCCATCTGTTCTTCTCCTCTAAAAAATAAAAATAACACATCAAAGATTCAATCAAATTCCTCAAAAGAAATTTGAGAAACATTGGTGACAATGGAGGGTGGTGATAATATACTGAGAGTGAGTAGTGCTCGTTTGAGTAGTTCCAACATATGGAGGAACAGCGGGAGAGAAGTTTTCTCAAAATCTTTTGACGATGAAGACGACGAAGATGCTCTGAAATGGGCTGCTCTGGAAAAATTACCCACTTATCAGAGGATTCAGAGAGGTATTCTGACTGAAGAACAAGGCCATGCGAGAGAGATTGACATCAAAAATCTTGGAGTGGTGGAGAGAAAGAATCTGTTGGAGAGGCTCGTGAAAATCGCAGAGGATGACAATGAGAAGTTCTTGTTGAAGCTCAAGAAACGCATTGACAGGTAATCTCAATTTTTTCTTCTTTTTTTTGGGATTTTATGATTGTAAATTGATCAGGGTTGTTGATGTAATCGTGTTTGAAGCACATTTATTTTTTTGTGTCTCTGTTTGTCTGATTTTTACAGAGTTGGGATTGATCTTCCCACCATTGAAGTCCGGTTCGAGCATTTGAATGTCGATGCAGAAGCTTATGTTGGTGGTAGAGCACTTCCAACAATTCTCAACTTTTCCATTAATCTTTTTGAGGTGAATTTTCTCAATTAGATCACATTAACATGTTCATATCTGTGTTGTAATTTGTAAATTGAACTAAGCCTGTTTTCTCTCTCTGTTTCTCTCTGTTTTAAAAAGGGGTTCTTGAATTACCTCCATGTGCTTCCAAGTAGGAAGAAACCATTATCAATCCTTCATGATGTTAGTGGAATCATCAAGCCTGGAAGGTGAGGATAAAATTTTTAAGTCCCATTGTCTGTTATTTGTTATAGATTAACCTAACAACATAGTTCTCAACCCCATTGATCTTGTTTTTGCAGAATGACATTGCTTTTGGGCCCACCAAGCTCTGGAAAGACATCATTGCTGCTTGCTTTGGGTGGAAAACTTGATTCAGATCTAAAAGTAAGAACACAACTACTACTTCATTTTAAAAAAAAAAAACAATCTCTGGATTGTTAAAATTTATTTATTTTTAAATATTATAAATTAATTTGGTCAAAAATAATAATAATAAATTCAAAGCAATCATCATCTTGATTTTGATTTATTTATTTTTTTGAAAAAAATAATTTTTAAAAATTTAGAAACATCTTTTGCTGTTTATTTACACCAAACTAATTGAAGTATTTTTCATAGAACAATTTCTGAAAATTGAATTGGGGACTTGTTTTATCCTGTGACCTTACATAAATCTTGTTGTGAAGAGTTTTGTAATTTTACTAGGCACTCAAATTTATTGTACGGGGCTTTTACGGAGACGGAGTGCTGTGACTATTAGGCTATTGGGCGTATAGTGAATTTAATCTTCGAAAAGCATAATTTTTAATATATTTTAGAAAACACATACTCAAAATGGAATTGGGGACTTGTTTCATCTTGTAATCTTTACATGAATCTTGTAGCGAGTTGTGTTGTCCTTTTACTCTACACTCAAATTTACTATAAAAGCCCTTTATCGAGATGGAGGGCCCGTTAGGCACATAGTGAACTTTATGTTCTTCCCGACTTAGGCATATTACTAAACCACATATAAGTGTTTAATTGTTTCTCTTTATTGTTTTTTGCAATTGTAACCTTTTGATTTTTGCAAAACAAATCTGACCGTAAAAAAATTGCAGGTTTCTGGGAAAGTAACATACAATGGCCATGGAATGAATGAGTTTGTTCCGCAAAGGACATCAGCTTATATAAGTCAGCATGACCTTCATATAGGAGAATTGACAGTGAGGGAAACACTTGCTTTCTCAGCAAGATGTCAAGGGGTCGGAGCTCGCTATGGTCAGTTATATTCAATAGGTGTTGATCATATTTAGGATTTGGTTATGAGAATTGAACTGGGTCGTAATTGGTTTGCTTGAATTTGAAAATTTTGCAGACATGTTAACAGAATTGGCTAGAAGAGAAAAGGAAGCAAACATTAAGCCTGATCCTGATCTTGATATTTACATGAAAGTAAGGGAATAGTTGTTCTGTTTGGTTGTTTTTTTTTTTTTTTTCATTTGCTTAGTTTTGTTTTTATATGCAATTTTTGGTATTTTGTTGAGCCATAAATGTTTTTTTTCTGGATGCAATTCTTGTGAATTGTTTTCTTTTTTTGTTTTGTATATCTAACTATACTTTTGTAATTATTCAGGCAGTATCACTAGAAGGGCAAAGGGCCAATGTGGTCACAGACTATGTTCTTAAGGTGTTTGATTGAATTTCTCTTAAACGACATTTCATGGGGGAAAAAACAAAATTCGCACAAAATTTGATATGTATACTTTTTGGTTTTCCAAATTCACAGATTTTGGGACTGGAAGTTTGTGCTGACACTATGGTGGGTGATGAAATGGTGCGAGGTATATCTGGTGGGCAGAAAAAGCGAGTCACGACAGGTAATTCCTAACCTGCTAACTTCGTGTTAGATAATTACACATTTTTTAAAAAAATATTTACCTATTTTGATGAAATATGATACAGGGGAGATGCTAGTTGGACCGGCAAGAGCACTCTTCATGGATGAGATATCAACAGGCTTGGATAGTTCTACAACTTATCAAATTGTGAACTCAATCAAGCAGTCCATTCATATCCTTCAAGGAACTGCTGTTATCTCTCTCCTCCAGCCAGCGCCAGAAACTTATGACTTGTTTGATGACATAATTCTCCTCTCAGATGGGCAAATTGTATATGAAGGCCCCCACGAAAATGTCCTAGAGTTTTTCGAATGCATGGGCTTCAAGTGTCCTGAGAGGAAAGGAGTTGCGGACTTTTTACAAGAAGTGCTTTTTTAACTATAACTGTTCTCTAAATACATTCTTTTTTGATTGTTTAGAACACACTAGACTTTTGAAGTACTCAAATTGTTTTTGGTGGAATCATAGGTGACATCGAAGAAAGATCAAGAGCAGTACTGGGCAAAGAGGGACGAGCCGTATAATTTTGTTACAGTCAACGAATTTGCAGAGGCATTTCTGTCATTTCACGTTGGTCGAAAACTAGGAGATGAGCTTGGCGTTCCATTTGACAAAGCCAAGAGCCACCCTGCAGCTTTAACAACTAAGAAGTATGGTGTTAGTAAGAAGGAACTGTTGAAAGCTCTCGTCTCTAGAGAATACTTGCTCATGAAAAGGAATTCATTTTTCTACATATTCAAATTCACTCAAGTGAGTACATGTCAAATCAAATCATTAAACTTTCACAGTTCCACTTCACATTTATGAAATAATTTGGAAGTTTTGTTCTAACTCGCATCAATGGTTGTCTGTTTTAGCTTATTATTATGGCGTTTATTGCAATGACAATATTTCTAAGAACTGAGATGCCCAAGAAAACAAGGGCAGATGGAACGGTTTTCATGGGTGCTCTGTTCTATAGTATCATGATGGTTATGTTTAATGGGTTCGCAGAGCTAGCAATGACCATCTTGAAGCTTCCCACCTTCTACAAGCAAAGAGACCTTCTCTTCTTTCCAGCTTGGGCATACTCTTTACCTACATGGATCCTCAAGATCCCAATAACATTTGTAGAAGTCGGTATTTGGGTGTTCACGACTTATTATGTCATAGGATTTGATCCAAATGTCGGAAGGTAATGATGTGTGACTGTAGTTTAGAATTCGGTTTCAAGATTTTCATTTCAATAATCTGATCGATTTTTAATGGCAGGTTGTTCAAAATGTACCTTCTGCTTCTATTCATTAACCAGATGGCTTCTGGAATGTTCCGACTCATTGGGGCATTAGGGCGGAACATGATTGTTGCGAACACTTTTGGCTCATTTGCACTACTTGGAGTTCTTGTATTGGGTGGATTTATCTTGTCAAGAGGTAAAGAAAGTGAAACATAATATGGCACAAGTGTGCACACACATTTTCTTCTGGTTCATGTGACTTGAATTTTATTATAAGAGCTTCTTTCTTTGCCTCAGAGAATATAAAGAAATGGTGGATATGGGGTTATTGGGCCTCACCTTTGATGTATGCGCAGAACGCTATAGCAGTGAATGAATTTCTTGGGAGCAGTTGGAGACATGTAAGCTTATCATGTTTGTGAGCTTGCAAGCAACCTAAAGAAAATCATCACAAAAAAAAGAAAAGAAAAAAAAAAGGAAAAAGATTTAGAGTAAGATGATCTAAACTTGGGAAAATTTTGTGTTATAGGTTCCTGCAAATTCAACAGAATCATTAGGCGTAATAGTCTTGAAGTCTCGTGGGATATTCTCAGAAGCATACTGGTATTGGATTGGAGTCGGAGCTTCGATTGGATATATTTTTCTATTCAATTCCCTTTTCACTTTGGCTCTCGCTTATCTCAACCGTGAGTAACCATTCATTCATTTTGAATATTGGATTTTTCACTTTAAAATTTGACAAACCCCAATTAGAGTTACTTGGGGATCAATTTGTTATATTAAGTAATTAAGGGGTCAATATGATGCAGCATTTGGGAAGCCTCAGGCTATTCTGACTGAAGAAACCATGGCAGAGAGAAATGCTTATAAGACAAGAGAGATTGAGCTATCATCAAGAGGAAAGAGGCTTTCAGGTTGGTCACTAATTAGCACTCAGATTGTGCCCTTCATTTATGGTTTGCAAGTTTTTGGTGGTAACACACTCAACGCATCTTTATACAGAAAGGGGAGATGAAGTTCAAAGAAGTGCTTCATCGACCTCAGTGACTTCAAGAGTAGGCAACATTAGTGAAGTCAGCCAAAACAGGAAGCGCGGAATGGTTCTTCCATTCGAACCTCTTTCAATCACATTCGATGATGTCAGATATGCAGTAGATATGCCACAGGTATCTTTGGTATATGGATAGTCAAGTAAAAACATAATACTTGTTTGAACACAAAGTGCTAATCTTGATTATCTTGATGATTGTGCACATACTAAAATTGTTACTATACTTATAGGAAATGAAAGCTCAAGGCATTCTGGAAGACCGGCTAGAGCTTCTAAAAGGCGTGAGCGGTGCTTTCAGGCCTGGAGTTCTTACAGCTCTGATGGGTGTTAGTGGGGCTGGAAAGACCACTCTGATGGATGTCTTGGCGGGTAGAAAAACTGGTGGATATATTGAGGGAAGGATCACGATATCAGGATACCCAAAGAAACAAGAGACATTCGCTCGTGTAGCGGGATACTGTGAGCAAACTGACATTCACTCTCCTCATGTTACTGTTTATGAGTCCTTGCAATACTCTGCTTGGCTCCGGTTGCCTCCTGACGTTGATTCTGCTAGCAAAAAGGTAACCTATAATCATAGAGTTTGAATGCCAAAATAAATCCTTGCATATCTTTCTTTCAATTTTAGACATGTTAAAATGTTAATCTAAATGATGAATTGTAGATGTTTGTCGATGAGGTCATGGAGCTTGTTGAGCTAACCCCTTTAAAGGAAGCACTTGTTGGGTTGCCTGGAGTGAACGGTCTTTCAACTGAACAACGCAAGAGGTTGACAATTGCAGTAGAGCTCGTAGCCAACCCATCCATAATATTCATGGATGAGCCAACCTCGGGACTTGATGCCAGAGCAGCAGCAATTGTGATGAGAACAGTGAGAAACACGGTGGACACAGGACGAACGGTGGTGTGTACCATCCATCAGCCGAGCATTGACATATTTGATGCTTTTGATGAGGTAGGCAATTTTTACAAGATTGATGATCCAATGATTTAAATTAGTTTCTAAATTTATATAAGAGAACTAAAGAACAAATATTTTGGATTCGCAGCTATTTCTTCTAAAACGAGGAGGTAAAGAAATATATGTTGGTCCATTAGGCCGCCATTCTGCCCATCTGATTGAGTACTTTGAAGTAATATACACGAGACCATTCAAACTTCCTGTGCTTGTGTTTTTGCTTAGGTACTAACATAATCATCTTATATTTCTTTTAGGGTATCAATGGAATTAGTAAAATCAAAGCCGGTTATAATCCAGCAACATGGATGTTAGAGGTGACTTCAGCAGCACAAGAAGCAGCTCTTGGGGTGAACTTTGCTGAAGTGTACAAGAATTCAGATCAATATAGGTATGGCCATCTTACATAATCAAAACAAAATTTTGTTTCTACATCTAGTTCAAACTAATCTAAATTCTGAGAAAAGTCAGCATTGAAGTATAAATGTGACAAACATAAATAATTTTCCATTTGGATACGGATCTATTTCCCAGCACTAACACCCATGATGACTAATCAGGAGAAACAAAGACTTAATCAAGGACCTCAGTACACCTCCTCTCGGCTCAAAAGATATATATTTCCCCACTCAATACTCACAGGCTTTCTTCATCCAATGCATGGCATGCCTATGGAAACAACACTTGTCATACTGGCGAAACCCACCATACAGTGCAGTGAGATTCTTGTTCACAACATGCATAGCTCTGTTGTTTGGGACTATCTTCTGGAATCTCGGCTCCAAAAGGTATATTTGTAGAGGAAAAGCCAAAAATAGTTTTATCCAATTTTCAAAATTGTTTTGCCATTTTTTTTTTGGGTAAGTAGTTTCGCCATTTTATAGTTCCTAAATTAATTTTTGTGTTTTGGTATTGCAGGGAAACACAACAAGATATCTTCAACGCAATGGGTTCTATGTATGCTGCTGTGCTATTTCTTGGTGTACAAAATGCCGGTTCAGTGCAACCTATAGTTGCTATTGAGAGAACAATCTTTTACAGGGAAAGAAGAGCAGCCGGAATGTATTCAGCATTGCCATATGCTTTTGGACAGGTAGTTATTTTTATTTCTATGCGAAATAGATCAGTCAAAATGCATTTGTCATTCAAGCACCTCTCTAGGAAAATTTGGGATTTGGAAATAACCAATTACCAGGAATTCATTGAAATATTTTAAAAAAATAGGAAAAAAAGGTTAATGCATGATTACGTACATACATTCATCCTTTCCTCTTGTTAAAATAAAAGATTGCCCATTTTAGATTGGGAAAACTTTGATTACTGTTTGGATGAAGTAGGATCAAAAGAACTGTTAACTATGAAGTGAAGTGTAATTGGAAACTATCTTCTAGATTTTCTTGATATTTCTTTAATTTTCTTGACAATCATTTTGTTTTGCAGGTTGTGATTGAGCTCCCATACATTTTTGTTCAAACTCTCATATATGGAGTCATAGTTTACGCCATGATTGGATTTGAGTGGACGGTTGCCAAGTTCTTATGGTATCTGTTTTTCATGTACTTCACCTTGTTATACTTCACTTTCTATGGGATGATGACAGTGGCAGTAACTCCCAACCACAACATTGCCTCCGTAGTCTCATCCGCTTTCTATGCATTATGGAACCTTTTCTCTGGATTCATCATTCCAAAAACAGTAAGTTAAATTGATTCCAAAACATTCAATTTTCACAACACGAGAGATAACAAGTTAAAAAATAACTCAAAAGGATCTAAACATTTTTTCATTTTTCTTATTTTCCTATGATCATGACAGAGAATACCGGTGTGGTGGAGGTGGTTCTATTACATTTGTCCGGTTTCTTGGACTCTTTATGGATTAGTTGCTTCACAGTTCGGAGACATTCAAGGAAAGCTTCTTGACACAGACGAAACAGTTGAAGAATTCGTCAGGAATTACTTCGATTTTAAACATGACTTTGTGGGATATGTGGCAATTATTATAGCTGGGATAGCCGTACTCTTTGGATTCATCTTTGCCTATTCAATCAGGGTATTTAACTTCCAGAAAAGATAATAATTTTATGCAAAAAAATAACTCTTTGTGAAAAAGATCTTCTAGTCGAGATAGTTTCTGCCAATGTGTGATGAACATTATTATAGGATTTTTATTTTATTTTTTTGTTTCAATCTTTTTTTCTGGCTTCATCAACTTTTGAATTCTTTTCTGCTTATTTTGATTTTGTAATGAGTTAAGTTTGTGTAAGGTGACCCTGTACGGCGACCCTAGGGCATTGAGTCCGTAATGTAACTCATCTACATGTAATGAACTGATGCAAAGTGCAATAAAAAAATGGGAAATTTTGAGCAATTATTCGAAAAGTTTCTTTCAATTGTTGTTATATGTATTGATTTTCTTGATACTTTTATTATTACTTTTCTTTTTTTGGTCGATACTTTTATTTTAGGGTGATTTACAAGTAAGTCTCGTTTTAGGAAATAATGGTATATTAAGTCCTACTTCGAAATTTTTTTACCAGTAAGTCCCACAATAAATTGAAATGATGAAACTACCTTTACCAAATCAAAACACAAAACATAAATCGCAGATTCACGATTTCATTCTCATAGTTCATCCCGCCATGTCTCACCCTTGCAGATTTCATTCTCACTTGCATCAATTTTGCCTCTCATGTCATCTTCCTTCATCAATCTCGTCTTAGATTTCACAAAAACAAACTAGATCATCAATCATTCTAAGATCCAAACAACCAAAAATAGTGAAAACAAATAAGATTCAAGTATCTTAAACCCTAATTTTTATGAAATCTTTCATTTTCAAAACTTTTGTTTTTGATTTCCATTTCAATTTGAATGTTGAGTTCGAAACTTTTGTTTTCGAGACTTTTGTTTTTGTTTTTGTTTGCGAATCTGAGAACATTCATGGTAATGGCACCAAAATCATGTTCTCAATCTTTCAGTTTAAGTTTCATTGTTGATTTTTGTACGATTGCTGTGAATGTTCTTAGATTTTGAATCAATTTGAGTGAAAAACCTTAGTTAATCATCTTTTCTTGCTTTCAATTTAAGTTTCAATGTTGATTTTGGTACGATTGCTGTGAATGTTCTCAAATTCTGAAACAATTTGTGTAATGACTCCAAAATGCGTATCAGAAATTATCTTTATTTAATTATGGGTTAATGTGTTTTAATTTAATTATATCTGTTTGAATTGAAGAAATATCTGTTGAGTTATGACTTTGAAACTGAAATTGCTGACTTTCATGGATTCAGAAACGGAAATTGAGTACATGGATTTTTTAATAGAAATTTTTAGAGCTATTTAGGAGAGTTAATTGAAAATTTATTTCGTCTGATTCGTTAAGGTGTGTTTGGGTGGTTAACTTTGCACTGCAAATTGAAAGCCTTAGAGGCTTCAGAAACCAAAATGGAGTACATAATTATAATTAACATGATTTTTATGATTTAATATGAAGTTTCGTAAAAATGTGATTTGGAATGAATTAAATTGGTTTTTATTAAATATTATATATATATATATATATTTATGTATGAGCCTTGCCAAAAGAAAAAGAAGAGAGAGAGAGAGAGCGCTCAACATCCATGGAATTTGAGAGAGAGAGCGCGCTCAACATCCATGGAATTTGAAGACAAAATTGAAGAAGAGGAACTTGAAAAGCAAGGATTTGAATTGAGGTATGTAGAAATCAACTTAACTTCCTAGGATTAACATATTATTTGTTCTAATTCATGACTCAAGATGAAGATAAAACACCTAATTGAGTTAGGGTTTTGAAGTACATGCTTAAGTGAGCTCTCTTCATGGAATTGAACCTTGATTCCTTAGATTTGCTTGATTTAAGATTCAATTTCATTATTTTTGCTTATCTTGAAGTTGATTATGAGAAGTTGAACCTTAATCTTGAGATTTTACATGGTTAATTACATATGAAATGAAGATCTATGTGAATATGGAGGAAGAATTTTTCAAAAAGTTTGAAAAAGAACTAAGTAAGGAGATTGATCTTCCTTACTTGGAGAGTCATTGTATTTTTGATGTTTTGATTTAGAAAACAATCATAATCTCATGTTTTCCATTAGTTTTACATGATTTTGAGTGATTTGAGTTGAAATCTAGCTTGGAAAATGAAAAAACAAGTGTTAGAGCCAACAGAGATTTTCGGATAGCAGATTTTGCCCATAGTCGCACGTGCGGCGGGGCTTCCTACACGTGCAGCAGTCCACTTCCAGCACCTAAATTGATTCTAAAATAAAAGCACATTGTCCCACACGTGTGGCCCAATTCCCGCAGGTGCGGTCCTGTTTCCCGCAGGTGCGGGGCACCTCTGTTTCAGCCCAACTTCAAATAGGCATATCTCTCTCATCCGAATTTCGTTTTAAGTGATTCTTGAGCCTAAATTCAAGCTCCGGAAGTCTAGTTTCTAATAGTGGTAGTCGTACACCCAAATTCTGAGTACACAAAGAGATATTTTTAAATTAGTGAAGGTTGTTCACTTTCTGTCTACTCTTTTCACACAATTTCTTCTCCTAACCCAGTTTCCTTCTGTTTCTTCCTATTTTCCTTGATATGAATTATGACCCATTGAGGACTAATGAGTTTAGAGCCAACATAAGTAATTGGTTAAGGCAAAGTAAGGGTTCGATTTATTTGATTAATCAAAGATTAAGAAAAGTAACTTTGATCAAGAGAATAATTCTATGTTTGATATGTTACGCTATGTAATTTGTAGGTCAAGACAAGGACATCGCCCAACTGCTACCAGAAGCCTGTCACTGTGAGCAATAATATATTGTAAAGACATGTTCATCTATATTTATTTTGATATATATTTGTTGTAATGTTCTAGAATTATGTTTTATGCGAATGAATGAGTTAACAAGGCCTATGATATGGAATATGGATATGAAATGTGAATTATCTATAATATGATGTGTTGGCCCCAAGGCCATTTTGTTTATCCTTTCTGTTTATCCTATGACACGATATGATTTATTCGGTCTTCAAGACCTATTGATTTCTAGTATGGAACAAAGTGCTGTACGGAACTAAGTGCTACAGTGGGAGCTACCTCTAGAGTTCGTATGAGCCACCTCTTGGGTCCATACATACATGAATTAGGCCCAAGGAGAGGTGGAGACATGTTGATGTTCCATCTACTTCATGATCAGATACACTGATATGATATGATACATTTGGACCTAAGGTCATTTTGATATATGATTGGGCCCGAGGTCGTTTTGATATGTGATTGGGCCTGAGACTGTTTTGATATATGATTGGGCCTAAGGCCGTTTTGATATATGTGGGCCCGAGGCCGTTTTGTTACATGGTGGCCCTAAGGCCACATTGTAAATATAATTATGAATAATGTTGTGAATGATGTAATTTTAGAAGAGTATTGTGCTATACTTCTTTTAAATCTAGATTATTTACTCGATTTTCTTTACTTTATTATTACTCATTGAGTTTTGCTCACTCCGTATTTTATATGTATGTAGGTGATCAACCCGGGAACCAACCTTAGGTCCACCTCAGAAATTCTTTTGTGAACCTGCTATGTCAAGCCACCCAAGATGCGCCTCTGTGTCGAGGTTTTAACCTTGTGTTGTTAGAATTTTGTATTTTATTGAATTTATGTATATGTGTGTGAGATCTGTATAAGCCTTGTTATTGTATATGTAAATATGGAAAGTGTAGTTAATGTTTTAATTATTTTAGTCGTCATGCATGCACAAGCTCAATGGACATTATTATTATTATTTTTATTTTGCTTCCGCTTTAGGCCCCAATATGATTTTAATATTGTGGAATTTTGTTTTGAGGCCTAAGTGCAGGCCGGTTATGGACCAAACTTTTAGGGGCGGGTTTAGGTCGTAATAGTTGGTATCAGAGCACGAGTTATGATCTCACACACATGTCCATTGAGCATTAGAGTGTCTAGAATGCATTTAAGTTTCATCTATTTAGTAACAAAATGATATGTTGTGCATTTTGAAAGATGTATGGGAGCTCGTACAATAAGTTAAGTATTGAGATTGAGAATTAGAAGTCCTCATGGACTTTAGGAAATAAGAGGGGATCAAGATGTGTTGTTTCATAGGAAGATTTGATAATTGTAATGAAATGGGAATGGGTTTATGTATTGAGTATGCTATTGAGGCTAAGGTTATGAAAGATATTTAACATTGGTGTTACAAGGATATCAAAATTGGTAAGTATAAGCGTGTTATTGTATATGTAAATATGGAAAGTGTAGTTAATGTTTTAATTATTTTAGTCGTCATGTATGCACAAGCTCAATGGACATTATTATTATTATTTTTATTTTGCTTCCGCTTTAGGCCCCAATATGATTTTAATATTGTGAAATTTTGTTTTGAGGCCTAAGTGCAGGCCGGTTATGGACCATACTTTTAGGGGCGGGTTTAGGTCGTAATAGTTAGTATCAGAGCACGAGTTATGATCTCACACACATGTCCATTGAGCATTAGAGTGTCTAGAATGCATTTAAGTTTCATCTATTTAGTAGCAAAATGATATGTTGTGCATTTTGAAAGATGTATGGGAGCTCGTACAATAAGTTAAGTATTGAGATTGAGAATTAGAAGTCCTCATGGACTTTAGGAAATAAGAGGGGATCAAGATGTGTTGTTTCATAGACTGAGTCTTGAGACTAAGGAAGATTTGATAATTGTAATGAAATAAGAATAAGTTTGTGTATTATGATATTGAGGCTAAGGTTATGAAAGATATGGAATACTAGTGTTACAAGGATATTAAAATTGGTAAGTATAAGTGTGTTTGTGGAAACGTGATGTGAAAGGAGATTAAATCTTAGCTTCTATATGGGTTATATGAGGAATTAGACCATGAGAAATTTTGAGAAACTGAGGTTGTTGTTAATCAATAAGGTATATAGAACTATGGCAATTAAGAGATGCGATGATTGATAACGAGTATGGCACTTGAGAGTTAGGAAATGGTTTGATATGAGAAGCAGAGATAAAGAAATTGTCCTATCTCTATCTTTGTATGCTTGTATGTTTCATGATTAAGTATACTGTGTACTATGGTGTAGTTACTAAATGATAGTCGACGTGTTAGCAGCTTGTATCTTATGACCCTAGAAGTAGATAATGGGAAGTAGGGATGAAATGGAAGTTGAGTCCTTGTTGAGGCAACTGGATAAAGTAAAAGGAATATTTCCAAATATGATGAACTAATGTGGATATGTCATGAGAAATAATAAGATCAAAAGAAGAAGTTAAGTACGAACTCAACAAAAGAATCAAAAAATGTGGTAGGAAGTTTTATGTATGCTCGAACGATTATT